GACAATAATTAAACAACTTCGTTTCGGAAACGCGTGTTCAATATTCGTCATAGAAATTTAAATTTCCAACATTTCAACGAAATAGTAACTTTATCAATGAGTTCATTTATATTTCGCATGATAACCAAAAGATGTTAATAATGCATATGCAGCGCACATGCAAATCCTTAGCATTATTCGTATTTACTCCGACTTACATCTTACCTGTATTTCAAAAACATTTAACCTTTTTCGATTTTTCTTTCTTTCATTGTGTATATTCGCTGTTAAAATCCAGTATTATTAATTTTAATATGTATTTACAGCAGTATCGAAATCTCCTACTCGTGGAGTCTACTCCAGAACATCGGGTTTATATTTTATCACTATTCATGTATTCGTCTACGGATAGTAGCGCTTGGGGGGATTTGAATATACCACTGTTCAGCCCAACTCAAAGAAGCTCTCTTGCGTCCTATCCACTGCAAGCGCTTAAACACCATGGAGCTGTGGTCTGCTTAAATGGTTTCCCTAGGCGAATGAAAGGAAGAGGGCGTTAGAATATTGCGGTACTACCAGATGGAAGATTTCCATGTCTTTTCTTTTTTGTCATTACCGAAGTGCCGGTGTAAAGTAGGAAATAAATTTTTCTTTATACTGTACAAGTTTGCCGTTAAAATCCGGTGTCATTAATTTTTATATATACTTAAGGCGGCTGTATCGAAAGTTCCCACTCGTGGACTCTAGCCCAGAACACAGGTTATATGACATTATTAAATCTTTCATTGTTTTTCTGCCTAAAATTTCCTTGAGCAATCGACTATCGATTTCAAATTGGACTGCAAGCCAAGTATGAATGATTAATGGCTATGAACTGAGTCCCATCATTTGATTCCTATCCGTCGAAACCGAGATTTTCAACACTGAGAAGCTCGAGATGCTAAATTATCGAGTTTATGACGTCTAGATTTTTTGACCACGTGTTAAATGAGTAAGCCATGACAATATACTCATCTTTTGGCACAACATACGTTTCAGATAAACAGATAAGTGGAACAGGTACAACATTTAATTGACAACAACTGATTTACCCTTCTTCGTTACTGGCGAGGAGCGTTATTGCTTAGTCCTGATGCTAACAATCGTGTGACTTGTCGCCACAACCCGTATCTCTGTTCTAACTCATCGCTCTATCTAAGAAGTATTCCTATTGGGTGCCTGCAGCCCTTTCAGTAAATCTCCGTCATGCTCAAGTCTTTCGGCAGTACTGCGATGCGGTCCACTGTAGTCTCACTCGAGCTGCACATAGAGAACTTTGAGCCATTTATGTTTCGATCATGGCAATGGTTTTGGCTACTCTCCACGCTGACCAGGCGTCTTGTACAGAATGTTCGTTTGCTCTTAACCACGGCTGAATGGAGCTCCAGGTGACGGCTCTGTGAGACCCGTTCAGATTTCCTTGGTGACTTCCTCTAGTGGTTTTTAATCCGCACAACTGAACGATGTCTTATCAGATGTAAGGAAGACCAACTTTTGATTAAATGGTTTACACATTAGCTGAGTCAGTCAGAATATATGGCAAGCATTATATCGCTTATGTATAAACACCGGAAGCAGCAGTAACGTGAAATATGTGACGATATGTTAGGGGAACAAACAACGAATAGTGCTACGGGAATGATATTCTACTACGCAGTCCCACTTTGTCACAATGAAAGATAATCAACCGTCACTTAGTCACAGCAACGTCCTTGTCACATTTTTCGTGCAACATGTTGAACATATCTATATCTGAAGTTCCCAGCTATGATATTCATGAAAATCCTAACTACATTATTGACGTGAAGTTAAGTATGAACTCGCTCTCAATAGACAAATACCTTATAGAATTACCTTATCATAAAATAACATTTTGGCTCGGTAAGGATGCTAGAGTAGTTACACTGTCGATGAGCTTATGGCCTGAGGTGCGAAACGTGTTCTTGGCATGGTCGCCTTTGTTAGACTGGCTAAAAGACATAGAGCACTCCAAGGGTGTTCTACCTAACGATTACTCCTCTGTTCTAGTGCTTTACGGATGGTACTACAGCATTATCATTTACCCTGACTATAAATAGTTACATTCGAAGATTAAATACGTATCTTCGCAATAGTGTTGTTTAAGCCACGACGTAAGCGATCAGAAGGAAAATACTGCGATGCCACGAATTTATATAAAGTAGATAGAAAGTTCAAAACTAGCCCTGAGCCGGCTAACGCTCGATATCATAAACAACAACAGATAGACATACAGCATGGACCTCTGTACCATTGCAGACCGCGCTGCAACAGTCTCCGGAATGCTATTGTTGCGTTGCACAAACAACACGATACAGCATCAAATTTGCTAGTAGCAAAGTCAAACCGAAATGTGAAAGAATTACGCTAAAGACGCATCACATAATTGCGAAACGGTATTATCTTACCCGCATAGTCAAGGAAACGTTACTGATCAATGACTGGTTCAGTACTGACCAGTCGTTGATGCAATCAGTTGCGTGAATCGTGACATATAAACGAAAAACATCAAAGAGTCGTTTAAGACTTATGACAAGCGCTGCATCACCAGTTACATGGGCTAATCCCACCTGTCCAAAAATATCCGTTCAAGACACTGAAACTCGGAAGATGAACCGAGTTTATTTCGAAACGTCAGCATGTGATAAACAATGATTGCAAGTAAACATCATACGCGCTGTTCTGAGATTTATGACATTCCGAAATGTTAGATCATCTCCAGATAAAGAGCTCTTATATTCAATGACAAGTGAAACTTATTAATCAAGAAATTACATGATACATGTTTCAGTGTCTTTTTCGGACGAATAGACTAAACAAAGTACAGACCATTCTGTTCATTTCCATAGCTTTTTCAGTGATAAATTCTTTTCCGAGTCCTTTTGCATAACCTAAAAAAAGCACTTGAAGGAACCACAGTACAAACAAATTACAAAAAATAATTCAAGAATATTTTATCTTAAGACCTGGTTTAAACCGTTATTATACCTGCATGGTGTCTTCCTAAATGTGTATGAATGGAAGCAAAGAGTAGAGACTTAATAGAAGATCATTTTTTTAGTCATCTTCAGGGAACTAAAAATCTTAATTTCATAATATTCAACATTAGATGGTCGAAAGTGTCCGCTAAAAGTATTGAGTTTTAATATGCAACATGGCTAAAAGCTTATTTAATATATATTAAAAAAGGTTCTGTATATTTTTAAGTGGCCGTTAATTCAGTATGTGCTAATAGCAGTGCAAACTGTATAAGTTAAATCTGACTGATTAAATGAGCA